TTTGGAGACCAGGCTGGCCTTGAACTCACAGAGATCTGCCTGGCTCTGCCTCCCGAGTGCTGGGATTAAAGGCGTGCGCCACCAACGCCCGGCTCCTGGATATCCCTTCTTGATGGATATTTCAATCCATCATTGCTTTCTCCAGTATCTGGGGGGTGTCCTGAGGCTCAAAGCCACAGTGGATGAGATGTGGTCACTTTCACCAAGAGTCTTCATTACTCAATGGGGAGCCAGAGACATAAATGAGAAGCATGAAGTTATGGCATGGATGTGGTCAGGAAACACCCTGAGTCTTGGGCTGAGTCTTGAAGTGTACAGTCTTCAGGTACCAAAAAGGAACTCACTGTTGAATCACTGATATTTTTAAACATTCACCCATTTGGCCTAATAAAAATGAAAGTGACTTATAAGAAAAATGGCAGGGCTGGGAAGATGACTCAGCAGCTAAAGTGCATGCTTGCAGGTGTAAGGACCCGAGTTCAATCCCCAGAGCCCACATAAAAATGAGCTGGATCGGTGACATGTTACTACAACAATGGGGAGGTAAAGACAAGAGGGTCCTTGGGGCTCACTAGCCAGCCAGCCTAGCCTACTGGAAAATTCCGGGCCAATGAGAGGATTCTGTCTTAAGGGAGACAATGCCATCTGAGGCTGTTCTCTGACTTCCACATGCACACACACATACATGCGCCTACATACACATGGATATGCATGCATGTGTACACAAACACACAAGTTGCAAATATACAATGCTTCCTGTGGCCTAAGTATCTTATATGTTTCAACTCACAGTTCCGAGTTCCTTTTGTTCATTAGTTCATGTAAGTTGTCTTGTGTGGTTGATGCTGTTATTTCCATATCATGCATGGGAAATGCAAGCATCGAGCTCAGAATCATGCAGTTACAGCAGCGGAGCTGCAGCTGGGTCCTCATGGCATGGATCCAGAGTCTGTGTTCAACTGTGCCTCCTCTCAAAGGTTTCTCTCCTAAGCCATCTTCTTTCTCGCCTGCTCCCACTCAGTAGGAGGCCATGGGTGTGTTAGATGGAAAATATCTGCTGTTTTGTTTCAGCTCCATGTTGGAGCTGTGCACCAGGCTTTCTCTTTTTGGGCCACCAACCAGCTCCCAAATCATGACACAGACTTATTATTAGCTTTGAGTGCTCGGCCTAGCTTAGGCACATTTCTGGTTGGCTCCTTTAACTTCAATTAACCCGTTTCTCTTTACCTACCTTTTCCCTCAGGGCTTTTGACTTTTCTTCTGTATATCCTACTTTCACTGCCTCTTGAGTCTGGCTGGCTGGTGGCTGCCTGGCTTCTTGCTCTAGGTGTGTTCCTGTTCTCTCCTCCTTCTCCCTCTTATTCTTCTTCATTCTCTTCTCTCTCTCAAGCCTAGATTTCTCCTCCTCTTTATTCTCTCTGCCTGCCAGCCCCGCCTGTCCTTTCTCTGCCTAGCTATTGGCCGTTTAGCTCTTTATTAGACCAATCAGGTGTCTTAGGCAGGCAAGGTGAAACAGCAACACATCTTTTCATAATTAAACAAAGGCAGCAGAAAAAAATGTAACACACCTTTACACAGTTAAAGTGATATTCTGGGGCAGAAACAAATGTAACACAACTTTACACAGTTAAAGCAATCTGGGGCAGAAACAAATGTAACACAACTTTACATAGTTCAATATTCCACAGAAGAGTTGGAGAGTCCCCTCCTCCCCATAATCTGTGGAATAGATTCTGTACAGCCAGCCCCCTGTGCTAGTTCCTTTTCTCATTGCTGCGACAAAATACTGGACAGAAGCCACTTAAGGAAGAAAGAGTTTATTGTGGCTCACAGTTGGAGGGTAGAGTCAACATGGTGGCAGGAGCGTGAGGCAGCTGGTCACCTTGCACCTGCAGTCAGGAAGCAGAGAGAGATGGCATGCTGGGGCTCAGCTTGCCTTCTCATTTTGTATTCATTCCAGGAACCCAGCCCACAGCAAGGTGTTGCCCACATGTCAGGGTGGATTTTCCCAGCTCAGTTAACTTAATCTGGAAACTCCTAACAGACATACCCAGAGGGGTGCTTCTGTTGGGATTCTAAATACCCCCAGGCTGACAATCCACATTAACCGCATTAACCGCGACACCTCCAAGTCAAGAATGCATGTTCTTACCTGTCTTATTTATGATACATTTGTCTTAATATGATAAATTTATGATAAAGAAACAAGCAGCCACTTATCTTGGCCCCTTGAACCTACAAGGAGGTTAACGGGGAGGCTGCTGTGGAGATCAAGTCAGAGAGGAGACTATGACGCCGACTTCCATCTCTTCCAGGCCACAACTACTGCTCAGTGAACAATGGTGGCTGTACCCACCTCTGCCTGCCCACTCCGGGGAGCAGAACCTGCCGGTGTCCTGACAACACCTTGGGAGTTGACTGCATTGAGCACAAGTGATGACAAGAACGCCTTGCTCCCTCTCCCAGTATGTCACAGCAACACCCTACTTGAAACGACTTGATCTGAAGAAACGACTGACTGAAAATTGTTCTGCAGTGGAGTGACCCCTAGGCCCAGGTCTGGCCTAGCCTGAGCCCCCACAACTTCCTCTCAATCTCCCCTAAAACAGTCACCCTGAGCTCAGTAATGGGAAGGTCTCTACCCCAACATGAGGGCAGGACCCCCACATACTCCCTGACCCCGTCTTCAGACAAGATTATAGAGTTCTGGGTAAAAAGCCAGCAGAGTGGTGCACGCCTGTAACCCTAGCACTTGGGAGGTGGAGGCAGGAAGATCAGGAGTTCAAGGCTAATCTTGTCTATGTAGCAGGGTTCAAAGCCAGTCTGGATTACATGATGCCCTGTCTTCAAATAAAATTTCAGGGTGAAAATTATGTGTCCATGCCAGAGCCATAGGGCCTTTCCTAATCTTAGACTCCTCCATGGTAAGCAGTCTCCCGAAGACCTAATCAGGCTACGTGTCTGTAGCTTTACAAGCTCAGTCGTTACTCGGAGGTGCCTGAGAGCCTGTCTGGTTCTCAACATAGCACCCAGGTCCAGCTTAGGCAAGGGTATGAGTCAAACTTTTTCTCTTGGTACTCTAATCTCTGTCTTTATCTCCCATCTAGCGACTCTCCTGTTGTGTACCACCTTCCCCCTGTCTAAGACTCTAAATTTCGTGAGCACGATTTGCCATGTGATCAAAGCCCAACTTCTCCTAGGAATTCGTGGTATTTGGTGGATGGTAATAAGCAACCCCTCCCAGATGGAAAAATCCTGGTAGTTCAGCAGTAGCCATTGATAATCGAGTGAGCAAGTCAAAGAACTGTCTGGTGAGAGGAATTTCAAGATGGTAGCGTCGAAATGTTTGAGGATAGGGGATTATTATTTTGATGTGTCTTGAATTGTAGCCAATTCTTCCTCTTTGCCAAAGTACCTGTATTAGCATCTGGTCTGTGATGCCATGTGAGTCTCAGCCCCACTCCTGGTACTGGTTTCCAAGTATTCTCACGGAGAGTCATCTGGAGCCCAGGCTGGGGTAGGGCTTGAATAAAGTAGTGGCCCATCATAGTCCCTTAATTTTAGAATTGTATCTTTGTTTCTCCCTCTCTCTATGGCTTTTGCTGGCTAGATCTCCGTCTGAAGACCCAATCTCAGAAGATCTAACTGGGTGTTTCTACTAGTGATTCAGACCCTTAATTGCTCATTGGTGACGTTCAAGGGACTGTTGCTGCCTTCCATGTTTCTGTCTGCTATTTGTTTCAAAAACATCCCCTGACCATATGCAGAGCCATTTTTCTATCTCTGTCTCTCATCTATCTATCTATCTATCTATCTATCTATCTATCTATCTATCTATCTATCTATCTATCTATCTACATCTATCTATCTATCTACATCTATCTATCTATCTATCTATCTATCTATCTATCTATCTATCTATCTCTTTTTTAACTGCT